TGTATATTATTTGCAGGTTGGTTCCCGCATTATGTCGTTGAGAAAACCACCTGTGACCGAGCGATGTGACTTTCCGGCGTGGTTTAAAGGGCCGCGACATTGGCATGTTTTAATGGGCAATGCTGTCTACAATTATCATCCAAAGTAAATATAGAAAAAAAACTGTATTTATCATTATTTGTTGGACATATTACGAAAAAAAATCGGTTTTAACGTTCAGCAGTATTTTTTTTATTTTAATTATTTTATGAACAAATCTATACTCATATACTATATAGACACAATTTTAAGTTTTTCCACCTGTTATTTTCTACCAAATAGTGATGGCTCTGTACATATAATAAAGCCGAATGGTTTCATGGAGACTCGCGCACTTTGCGAGCAAATTAACAAACAAACTTCCACTGAAATGATGGCTGTGGTACATTATACAACTGGATGGTGAGTGAAATTTTTAATTAGCTATGGCCAGGCACCGAACATAACAGTTATTGATGAAAACTGTCATGGAAAAATTCACTATGGAGGAAATGTTCTACAACTAAGTGATACATACCAATCGATTTCTTTTTTCACCGATACACAAATTTGAAAATGAATTTTTACGAAAAATTTAACAATTAACAATTATTTTTAATTTTAATATTAAAAATCCAAAATTACAGCTGTTTTAGATATTTGTATTATATGCCTTAGATCACAGTTATTGAAGACTTTTATTTATAAAAGTCATCGATAAAAATCAGTCAGTGATCCATATAAATGAGTTACCGACTTTTTTTTTTAAATCATTCGTATAAAAGTCATTAATGTTTTTTGCCGTTAAAAAAGGTGTTGGAAAACAAAAGTTTACTACGACTTATAAATATTACTTTTATAAGTATGATTTAAAAAATAAAGGGCAGTGACTGATTTTTATTTATGAGTTTTATAAATAAAAGTCTTCTATAACTGTAATCTAAGACATGTAATTTAAAAATCAAAAATAGCTGTTATTTGCAGATTATTTTGACAAAAATCAAAAATAATTCTTGTTTTGGATTTATAACATAAAAGTCAAAAATAGCGGTTATTTAAGGAGTAATAAAAGTAACAAAATAATTGCTAAGCAGCGATTTTTTAATAAAATTTGTGACTGTTGCGTTCCCTGGCTATGGCTCATATGTGGAAAAAATTTATCTAAAAAATACTATACTGGGCGCAATAGACCACCCGTGCGGAGAGGAGAATGATATTTATTGGAAAACATAAGAATATGAACTACCAAGTTTGAGATGCTCAATCTTTAGGTCGCATAAATGCTTTCGACCAGAAGTCCATCAATTTAATTGTAACTTTTGTCATAAAATTTTTTATGTTTCGGTTAAAAGAACTGACTTCCGGTCTGTGTAACTCATTTTCGGTCGAAACCGGTAGTCCGTAATACGTCCCAAATATAGAGCATCCCCGCCTTGGTAATTCATATTTTTTGCGTTTTTCAATAAAAACATTTTTTTTTCCATTTTGCCATTGGACCAGGCCATCCGGTATTGTATTCTATTTTTTAACGAAAATTGCATGCTTTTCATTTCAGTCAATCGGGTTTTATGTGCATGATGTTTTATCGTCGAGATACACATGTCATTGAAATACAGACAGGCAAGCAGGCCTCACGGCTGGAGGATGCTTGTGCACCAGATCATTTCGATGTGATTCGTATGCCGTACATAACATTGCTTGGTAAGTGGGAAAGAAATTAAGAATAAGGAGAGAAGCTACATAGTATACATACATATGTATGTATGTATGTATGTATGTCTTTGTTTTAAGAACCGTTATTATACGCTGCGACCTGATGGATTTATTCCGCCTTCTATGCATCACGCAACCTCGTTTAAGGCCTGTATGTAGTTCTCAAGAAAAGCAAAAATTCCATACAAAATGGACGTACAAGAAATGCCTAAGAAATTTTCTTGTGTAAAATTTTCTTGAGGCAGTACGCAGTTCTTAAGAAATTTGCTACGCTTTCTACTACGGTTTTCTAAAGTTTTTTGTTAAAAAAGAGCACAAGGCAACCCATGCTTGCAACAGAAATATATGCCCGTTCCATTATTTCTTGAGGAAAGAGCGAGCCAACAGGCTGCTGAAGTATCAGTTGTCAAGTGTCCAAGGGGACACACACACGAAATAATGGCAATTTTTTTCTTAATGGTTTTCTTGAGAGCTGCATACCAGCCTTTAGTCCTACAATATCCAAAAGGTCTAGAAGAGCTTTTCTCTCCTTGCCTTGATACTGCCGGCCTCACTCTCAAGGAACAGGTGCAATGGTGTCTTTTTTATTTGACCAGATTCCTAATTAATAAAGATGCTCGTGATTCTGAATTCGATAATCCTCAGTTTCTCTTTAGGGGGTTTATTTGAAGTCTATATTTTGTCCTCCCATTAGGCTTTTGGCTTAGCGAAGACTTTACCAGTGTTGCTCTCTACTTCTGATTGTTTCTCTCCTGAACTCTTCTTTCGATCGTGTTTGGGCCTACTGAAAGGAGTCGTTCAGGCCCTGTAAGACCTCAGCTCCCCTTCTGGCCAGGCAGATATTACCCATTAGATGCCTACCCTAATGGGGTTTTGTAGCCATCAGTGTACCACTGCATGTTGCTGGCCCGTGCCTCTTGCTCCAGAATGGAGGTACCCCAGGTTGCTTTCTGGCTTGGCTATATTCTCTTCGAAAACCACTACAAAACATAGAAATTTGTATAAACTTTAGTGTTTCGACTTATACCCCTTACTTCTCAGAAAAAAGAGACAACTATGTAGAAGAAATCGAATACTGCTCTCGAACACATAATATCTTTGTTTATTGAATATCTACAGCTAGCAACCCGGATCCACAAATTTGCCCGATGGAGGGTTTATACAATTTGCGTGGCGCCATAGGACCACCCTATTTGACTACGCGTCATAAGCGCAATCACAACAACAAAATACATTCAACCCACGGGCATCATCATACACAAAGTGAGCTAGCTGTCGCCTCAGCAGGAAGTGAAAGTGAAAGCAATGGTTATGCGCGTAAAAGGTTCGTAATTGAAAGGCTACAAATGACGAATTTATTGATGTTTAATTAAATGCTCCTCTCTCGCCTTTCTCTGTTTAGACATGCGACACTAAGCTTTCGTAATACGGAAAAAACTGAAAAGGGTTCATGGCATGCGAATACACGGGGACTACCTGGACGAAATAGGCGCGATGCCCTAGCGACTGTTCCAGCTAATAGTTCCATCAATGTTATTGAAACCACTACGACTTTGGAGCACTTGAAAATATTGGAGAGCGAATTACAAATACAAAATAATTCAGCACTGAGTAACGAACGGCGACAATTCACAGGAAATGTAGTGCCACTGAAAACAGTTGACTTTGTTCATTCTTCAAATGATGCGGATAATGATTTACAGCGTCTACGAAATCGACGAGATGCACCAGGTTGTATAACAAATTTTAAAGCGCAGCGTCGCCTATGGGTGGGCTGTACCGAACCAGATGTAATCGATGTACGGCCGCTGTGCAACGATGATGGTGACGAAGGTGAGTGCGTTTTGATAGAAATTTTTGTTTGCTATACTTTTGGAGTAGTTTTACTGGAGAAAATTGGTACCTAGCCTATTTTGAGCTGCAAATCGGCACAATTAATTTAGGGGGTGCCGATTTTCAAAATATCTTGTAGCAAACCATATACAAGTATAAATTATCGGGCGCTTCACCTTCGACCTATGTATCTCCGCAGCCAGTTCTGCAACCAAATTCCGAGATAGGGCGTTTTTCAATCAAATTGTGAAATACGGAGTTATTGAAAAGTTTTCTGAGAAAGGGCATTTTCGAACTGACTGCCGAGATAGATCGATCTTCCATTCGGCTATTGATACACATACATATGTATATCGATAATTTTCCATTTCTAAGGGAAAGCGTATGAGCTTAACATTGTAGTAAATACAAGAAAGGTGTAAAATTTTGCGTTTCCGAATTTCACCTTAAGATTTGTTTTGATTTTGTTCATTAAGCAAATGAGTACAAAATTAAAGTAATAATAATAATTTTTGAATATTTAATTAAAAATATCCTGGCCAGAATTTTTTCAGCCAACCTACTCGCGAAATATTTCCTAACACGTTAATTTTCAGACAAAGTAGATTACAACCATTAAACAGGTGGGTAAAGGTCATGCCTTTGTCGTACATCCCACTATTGAGCTCGATGGGAATTGATGTACCTAAGTTTTTCGGATTTCAGTTCCTAAGTTAGCAATAATGTTCTGATCATAACACTTTTAAAACAAACTTGCAAACCATGCTGGGTATTACTTAGTTTTTTCCAAAAGTAAAAAAAAAACATTTCAAACTATTTAATCATCTTATCTCCCTACAGAGTACTCCTGTCATGGTTCTTGGACCGAGAATGGCACCGTGTATATTATAGCTCGACATAAAGGCACCAAACATGGCGTATGCCTCAGCTATCGCCCGACCGATGGTACCGCCGCCATGTTAGTAGTCGGTGATGCATGCTATCGTGGAACACAAAAGCCACCCGATCATCATTTGGTGGCCAATTTAACCGTTTTTGGTATGTAAATGCAATAAATCGCAGACAAATGATAACCATGCTATATATTTGCTTATATATTTGCCATTTATTTCAGGTAAATGTGGTGAAACTGGTTCTGCTGCGATACAAATTCACCTCAGTGCTGTGCTAATTCAATGGGGTTTGGTGATGCATGTGCTATTGCTAGCGGTCAATCTAGCTAATAATGCGAAAAATCGAAGATGATAAATTCACACCTGCCTGCAATAGAAGATCAACGAAAGACAATGAAATGCCTGAATAAAAGATTTAATGATGGCCGCGCACTTCCGTTTTGGCTGAAACAAGCACACTTTAGTTATACATAAATGACAAACATTACTGAAAACTCTTAGATATACACAGATACAAGTAGATAAATACAATACATATTTCGATAGGGTGAAGGTAGGTAGGTAGGCGAGCAAGAATTGGGTTGTTGTACGATATGCCATCGAATCAAAGGATGTCATTTGTTAATCCCTTTATGCTTCATGGAAAGCAAGCATAGCAGGAGGCAGAAACGATTGCCTACAACTTAAAACGTGATAAGAGGCAGCCTACATAATCTATCGGGTACTAGGTTTTTTTTTTTGGTATAATGTACGTATGTATACCTTTGAATAAGACTTCGACAAAAACAAGAAAAAGCGAAATAAAACGCTTATGAGTAAGCGTGAGCTGTGCACACACACACACACACCCACCCACATACATACATACATACATACATATGTATGTACGTATGTCGGTTGGTTTGCAGATACATAAGTACATAAATATAAGTTTCGACTAAAATAAGAAAATAAAAAACAAGTTTGTAAATATGTAATGACATCAGTTTCAAATAGCTACTATATATAAGAAATCGTAAGATTAAGTCAAATGGACTAAGCGTAGAATTAGATAAATACATAAATGGTTTGCAATAGAGCCTTAGTTGCGCGTGTGCGCATAAGTTAAACGAAATTTTGTTGGCGCCGATCGAAGGAAGATCGGGAATAACTAAAGAGATAATTTTGCGTGTGTTTAAAAAAGTTAAGGCAATACAAATGAAAGACAAATACTAGCTCGCTCGTATAAACCCATATACGAAAGTAGAAACGAACGAATGTTTGAGGATGCCCTGATAATGTGATTGCAATGTATGCCGCTTTTTAGATGGTTGAGTGCTTGGTTGCCCATAAAAATAAAAAAATAAAAATTAATAAATATATGCATATGTACGAACAGATTTACAGAAATTTGTATGCACATACAATGTACAACAAGCATACATAATGTGGATGCCGGTAACTTGTTGTTGAGCGTGCTAATTACAAGCATACAATTAAATAATTTTAATTTTCTATAAGTAACTGTAGAAACTTGTAAATGCGCATACATACATACATATTTATACGCATGTATGTATTGAACAATGTACTAATAATTTGTATTTATTGTGTAATTAATAGTTTCTTAAATATATATACATATTTATGTACATATTTATAAAAATAATTGTACTGATAAGTACATATAGTATATACGAATGTAAGCTTAAAGCTTCTGTATTAAAAAAATAATAAATAAAAATAGAATTTTGTATGCAATTTTTAATTATATGTGTACATGCATACATACATACATACAAGTGTATGTGTATATGTGCTGCACATCTTACACATATTGTTTGTATATATGTATGATATCTGTTTTTTTTTTAAGCTATACGATTACATAAATGCACAAAAATTATTTCGTTCATCTTTGATTTGTACTAAATTTGTTAAAGACAAAAAACAAAAAATAAAATTAAACCATAAGTTTTGGTATTTCTATAAACATTGAGAAAAGTGATTTAATACATGATTTAGAGTTTTTTTCAGTATTTATGTTGAATGTAGAGGTTTAGTAAAAAATTGTTTTTTTACGCAATAAAAACTAAGCAATTTCTTTTACTCAAAATTTCATGTCTTTTACTCGACTTATTCCAATAAAATTAAGTAAAAGGTGTGAAATTTTAAGAAAAAGCAATTGTATAGGTAGGTAGTAGGGTATTATAAAAGTCCGGGGCAGAATATGTCGTAGAAGAAAGTAATCAATGTTCCCTTGATGCCACGACCTCCTGGACAAGAATCCGACGATATTCTCTATTCAGTGCGACAGCTTTGCACAATATTTCATATTTTTAACATTTCATATTTTTTACATTTCATATTTTTTACTACTGCTTTAGCGACTACTAACACCTAGCGCCTAAATGCATACTACATCCTCGATCAAACCACATAAATATGTATGTAAAATGAGTGGCACAGAATATGTTCAATTTCATGTGCAAAAATTTCCTTTATGCAATTTATGAAATTTTTGCATACGTACTTCTCAAGTGTCATAAAAATAGCAAGATTATTTAAAGTAATAAGTTAATGGCACCTCAAAGCATGCACAGCCTATTCTGGCACATCCTCCGGACAAGTCGTCTGGACTCAAATACATAGGAAAGGTAAATGACAAGGATGAGCTTTCCAACTCGTTTGTATTCTCTGCACTTTCTTTAACATTGTATCTCTTCGGTCCAGTTTTACAGTGCTGGTTTAAACTCAGTTTAGTTAAACTCAGTTCAAATTTGAACTTACCAGTTTTTCAGTGCGATTTTAAGGCCGCTTCATAGTTTAGTTGTTAGGTAGGACAACACTGTTTTTTCTTTATGCAGATACAAGACTTCAGCTATTTATTTTTACTTTTGATGCAATCGCGTTTAAAGTTTTGAAAGAATATAGACGGAAATTTATAGAATTTGTTAGGTGCTTCATGTCTTGCCCAACCAAATTGCCTAATTCAAGTAAACTCCAACTCAAGCTGCGTTTCTTAATTTTCTTTCTTTACTCATGATGCTGTTCTTTAACTTTATTTATTTTTCTAAAAATCTATGTGTATTTTGTCCTTTATTTAAAAACTTGTCCGTTGAAGGTACTTCTTTTGGTACTATGCCAGACATCAAAACATTTCATATATTACAGCCTAAGGGTGCGTCCACATAAGAAGCGGCGCCGATCCGCTCAGTATGCTTTTTCAGAAGTGTTTTGAAGCTGTAAGCAAAGCAATTTTTGATTATGAATTTTCTATCATCCGTGCTGTATTTCGAAGGAAAGTCATTTTTCTCGAGGTACTGTTTATTTTTATTTTTTTATAAATCTATCTATTTTGTCCTTTATTTCAATCCTCGATCTGTGAAAGTTTTTTTGTTTTTGATATCATCTATCAATGTATTACAGCCTGATAGATGGCAACTTTGAAGAAAGAGCATTGAATACAAAAAAGTTGGGAAGCTCGTATCTGCCATTTACCTTGAAGAGGCGAGAGCATCCACAATTTTTTGTTGAATAAAGAAAATGAAAAATACCTTGCGGTAGCGATTCAACATCAAAACGGACCGAGAGAGCTCCAGAAACTTTGTTGGGTGTGAAAGGTAAGGCACCCTTTCCATTTACAATTTTCCGTCACCATACTGATGCGCTATATTTGTCTGTAAGGCCACTCTTGTGCGCGTGCCCTTTTCATAATATCACATACGAGTACATAACAAAAATGTGTACTGTATTTTTAACCGGCTTCAAAAAAAAATTTTGTTTTTTGTTTAAAATTACTTGTTATTTCAAAGAATGGTCACCGTAAGTATAACTTGTACGGCGCCTCGGGGCTACACCTTCCCAGCATACTGTACAGTTTGTGAACTGGATTTGAATATAATTGCAAAAACATATTTACATAAAGGATGGCCTGGGCAGATGGGTTGCTCTTGGAAAATTTTGTCCGCGTGCAAAGTTTTGACCGTTACTGGCTCAAATGGGGATTAATCAAATCTTATTCATTTAAATTCGAAAACAGTATGCGCATTTATAACGGTAGAATTTATTTGTGTAAAGACAAAGCCGATTTAATTTGACTTAAAAATTTGGCGACCCAAACACTGTTCAATAAACCTCCCCTTCTGTGGCACCTGTGGCCAAGTGAGAAGCACATACACTCCCTGTACCCGTCAGTTGACGATAATTCTGGACCTCACCTCTCGAGTATATTTAGAAGTTTGTTCTTTAATTAAAACTTTTATAGTTTTGAATTATTACCTACTTTCATAGCCAATAGTTACCTCCTCCTTTCAATTAAGTTATGAGGAATAAAATTATATAAATATTCAGCGTCAGAATTCGTAATTTTGTTGGTTATGTTGTGTAACTCCAGAAATTCAACCGGTGCCACAATTATTTTTCTGAGTACAGATTTGCAATTTTCTAGGAGTTCAGATTTTTTGTTATCCTTCAAAGAAACCTTACTAGATGAAGCTATGCTTTTGTCAACACTAGTTAACCAAGTAAAGATTTTGGATGTTATCGTTAAGGCACTGATTAATGGAGACATTTTTGATATAATCTATAAAGCAGTGGAAGTGGTCATCGGGTATTTCGGTATTTTTTTTGGTGGCGTCGAGCTCTTTCGGGATTGTTTTTGCGGGACTTTTTGTGAGTCCTTTTCGCAACTTTTCTGAATTTTTCACGTTTTCCTTTCATATTTTATCCAGAACTCGTGAGATTTTCGTGGACTTTTTGGAGCTATTTATTCTGGAACCTTAGGTATTTTTTCGGATTTCTTATTTCTTCCAGATGTTTTGTGACTCTGCATGTTTTATTTATTTATCGGTATTGTGGGATTTTCCTGGGGTTTACGTGGTTTCCCGATTTGGTTGTTTTTATTGTAGGAAATTTTGCAGTTTCCGGGTTTTACGTAATTTTTTCGGGGTTTCTAATATTCTATTTTTCGACATTTTTCGGTATTTGTGGGAACTTTAGGATTCTTCGTGTTATATTTTTGAAGATTTTCTTGGAGAACTTTTGGGGTTTGTTGAGGCTTTTCTGGTCTTCCACGCGATTTTCCGTCATCTTTCCAGTTTTTTTTTCCTCTTCTGAAGCCTTTGGGATTTTTCGCCACTATTTTCGAATTTATCAGAACTTTTTAGGATTCATAGTGCCGTTTTCTGAAGTAACTTTTAAAATTTATCTTCCCTGCAATCATATTTTGTGAGAACAAAATTTTTGTTTAAAGGGCAGGTAGTACTTTATTTTTTGCAATCTTTTTGGGACCAATTTTTTTTTTTTTTGAGATTACGGTAGAGGACATATCTATAGCACGCCATTTCAAAGTGGTATTGTTTGCCACTTTGTTTATTTATTTCTTTTTATGAATTTAAAGTATTGTTCATTCTCTTCCACAACCCGTATACACCCAAGTTTAAAACTTTGTAGAAAACTGCAAAAAAATGCAACAAAATTTCACCACAGTAAATAGTTTTATAGCTCATTTATTTTTAATATAATAAAGTGCAAGTTTGAAGTGGCTAAAAAATACCGTTGATTTTTTAAAACTTCTTCGCGAAAAAATTCTTAAAAATCAACGGAAATTTTTCTCACCTAAAACTTTCACATTATTATACTAAAATGAAATGCGCTATAAAACTGTGTACTAAAGACAAATTCTAACACTTCTGAAAAAAAGTTGAAATTTGGATGAAAATTTGTTGTAGTTTCTTGTAGTTTTCTACAAAGTTTATGAAGTGTATTTAAATTGAAAACTCTTAAAAATAAATAAATAAACATAAGTGACAAACAATATCATTTAGAAATAGTGTGCTATAGATATGACCGATACAGTATTTCGTTTTTGTTTCTTGTATTTTCAAGATTTTTCTTTGATTTTTCTTAAGTTTTCAGAACTCTTCGAGATTGTTTTGTTTTATTTTTCGAGATCTTTCGGGAGACTTACAAATAGATTTTAGTCTTTGAAACCAGTCAGTAGTTCTTGCTCAGAATAACTAAAGTTAAAAGTTAACTATAAGTTTTCACATACTCGGGTCGGTCTCGGTTTGTGACTAACGATTTGTCATTATTGGCTTTTGGCGAAAAAAGGAATATAAATTTGGGCACACATTTTTTAATACCAAACTATTGTAAATATATATATACATTAG